GGAAAGGTTCTATAGCTTTTCTTTGAAGTTTTGTAAAAAACTTTTGAGTAAAAGTGTTTCATATGGAAAACTTCTTGAAAAACTTTTGAGAAGATTTGCATAAAGTTTTCTGAAGAACCTCTGGAAAGCTTTCCCGTGGTTGTCCAGTTTCGGAGAATTTTTACGAAGTTTTCTGGATACTCAAAAACTACAAAATAGTTTTCTGAAAGACCGTTCTGAAAAACTTCAATTTTTCACAGGATGAGACACTATATGACTTTATAATATGCATATCGGGCTTATTAAATGTCAGCGAGAAAGCGTTAATTCTTTTTTTGAAACCGTGTGACCCGACGTGAGAAAAAATCTAAGATATTGTTCTTATTTAAGTAATCACGATGGTTCATAAGATACTGATAACCAAATAAGCTGTTGTTGTAATGAAAAAAAATATTTTTCGAACAAAAGCTTTTTATTAGGACAAGTTAAACAAAAACAACAGAAATTAACAAACGAAAATAATCTTTGGAGGAATCTAAAGGTGAATTCAAATAAATATGTGCACGACATAAGTTAATATGTTGAAACTATTTACTAAAAACTTAATTGTTCACAGGTTGCATACAACTATATGTAAGGAGAACTCGTTTTTCGAATAATTTTATAAGTTTGTTCAAGTTTCTACTTGACAGCTTTACGGTTATGGGTTTCAAAAACTCGGCTACAAATTTCAGCTTTTAAAATCCTGACGAAAATATCAACACTTCGAATAGTCCTATAATTTTTGTTTTTGTAGTTTCCAGAACTGAAAGTTTGCAGAAAGTTCCTAATTTTTCCATAACTTTCGGCTGCAGAATTTTATTTGACATCATTCTTTTGGGTTAACAAATGTTCAAAACGTAAAAACATTCAAAAAACCGGGTCCACCATTGTTGACTGCCGACATATAGAACGCCAAGTGGTTAAAATCGTTATTATTAAAACTTTGATGAGTTATAAAAATCTTTTGAAAATTTCGTCTGTCAAATTAGAGGGTCAATCCTAATAGAAGGCCACCCAGAAGTGTTTGATCTGCTGAAACACAACAGAAGACCATGTCATTCTTCTATTCATGGAGGGTCGTATAGTTTGCGCTGTACGTGTTTGTTTTATCGTTTAATAACTTCTTATGTAGCCAATCTAAAATTCGTGTGAGTGCCTGTTTAGATTCGGGATAATAAGAATAGAATATCGGATAAATATGCGACAGGTGTTCTCCAACATCTAATTGTACATCAACGTTTTCTTCTTTTGCTCTAGCATAGACTAATCTAGAATCACTTTCTAATAATTCTGCACCGCCAACACATATATAGAGTGATGGAAAATTTTTAAAGGAACCAAACAATGGAAATGATTTATTACCATCATTGTCAATAATTTGTTGTTTTAACCAATTAGCAGTTGCAATTGTTAACATTAAATCAGAATGCTGATTGTTTCTATAACTTTGACCACTTTGTGTTAAATCTGCCCACGGTGAAAATACAACAATGGCTCTGGGAGGTGGAATTTGTTCACGAATTAATGTCTGAACTGTCAATAACCATAAGCCACCTCCAGCTGAATCACCAATGCCAATTAATCGTTTCCTCTCATTTAGTAATGCTTGATACAATGTTAAAGCATCTTGGATAATGTTAGGAAAAGAATTTTCAGGCAATAATCGATATTCTAAAAAACCAGGACTACTAAAGTCTGCTGCTTCTATAAAAGTGGGTATTGTACATAGGCGTTTAAATAATCCCAAAAGTTCATCAGTACCGAGCCAAGTAAATTTTTTTTCCTGTGGTGTAAAAATGTTCACAACGGATGTACAGCGAAGGTCATTTTCGATCATATTCGTGTATCAAAACAGGACAGATAAAGAGAGTTAGGTGAAACTAACAATTATATTGCAGTCTCAGTGCATTTTACATGGCGCTTGACTTTGTCAACAGAGTACAACATTACATTTAGTATACGCAGTGACATCCTCTATAAACTGGTTAAGCTATCTCGACAGTCTATCACACCTTGGGGCAACACACCTATTCTTAATAAGAAACTCTATTTTAATTAAGAATAGTCGTGCGCTTCATTTTACAAAAAAATCAACTTTAGAGTTAAGCATTTTGTGCAACAGAGTCGAGTGTCTTCTACAATTTGAGATTACTTCCAGCTCTCCTTGATGAAACATGAAATTTCTAAAATCTGTCAATCTACAGCGAAAAAACTCTATTCTTAAGTTTCGAAAATTTTGTACTGCCATTCAGTACTTGGAATATTTTTCAAACAGTTGGCCTTATGGAGCAAAGAGTTTTCTACAAATTCAGCTGTCTTTCAGCTCTCCATGATATTTCCCTCAAAAGTTATAAGCCATTTGCCCAGAGCCCTATGAAAAGTGACCTGTGTGTTACGACGTCCCTGATTCAAATCTCGACTCGGTCAACCGTACCACACCTATTATATGAAAACCTTGTCCGTTCGGGTTCAAATTTCTAACAAAAAAGTCCATCAGAAGACGACGGTTACTATCCAATCTATATATAGCTAGCACTGTTTCTGTTGCCTTTCAAGAATACTCAAGTCTGAGCAAATACTAGATAGATACCCATGTGCCCAGGCGTTTCTTTCCAGATGTCAAACTCCGTTTTCAATGATCCTATGCCAGTTGATATAGGAACGTGTGCTAGTTAAAACCCTAAAATGAATTGTGACCATAATAATTTTTCAAGAGTTATGAATTGTTTTTGGTTCGCTGGGAAAACAGATAGAAAAACGATGCCAGATTCTTAGCAAATCATTACAATGATGGATATAACTGTTATTTATGTAGAGACTCAATTATATTACCGAAACAAACAAATTTATATGAATTATAGAGAGCGAGGAGGGAGAATATCAGCTTGTTCAATAGGAAACATTAACAGGATCACTTATGACTAACTATAATAAAAGAAAAATGAATTGAGAAAACATAGTTTTCTTCAAAAATAAGAAAAATTCATTAGATTATTCTTAGAGAGGCTGAAATGCTAATTTTTTCTATGATGTTGATCGAGTATTGAAACAATGATAGAAAAAAAGGCTCACCCCAAAAGAGATAATAGCTCTTAATAGTTCTTTGTGACTCACTTTCATGTACGCCACCACAGCCGCTTCTGATGTTATTATCTCTTTTGGGAGTAAGCGGAAAAAAATTGTCAGCTCAAAATTCCCTGTCTTTATCGAGATACAAAAATTTTAGTGTTTTTGTACCTGTACCAAAAAAAATCATAACTATTGAAAGAACTACCATGGGCACAATCATTTTAGGATTTTAACTAGAACAGTTTCCTCTATCAAGTAGCATAAGATCATTGAAAACGGAGTTTGACACCTAGAAAAGTTTCCTCATTAGATATATCTCTTTAAAGATCGTGAGATCGAAAAATTTTATGATTTTAATAAGACTTTTTTTAAGATCCGGTGAGAGTCTGATTTTACTAAGAATTATATTATTCTTAACCACAATAACTCATGATTTATTAACAATTTTGAATATCTTGTTCAAGTGCTGATGAA